TCTCTTTTTTTTTGTTAAAGAGGTATGCATTTGGCCTGTAGCCTATAACACACCTCTTCAACCAAAAATATTTTCCTTACCCATCCCAACACATCCCTTAGAGCTGCCTGCGGCATTACACTCAACGGATTACCAGGTCAAAGCATTACCTTCATTAGGTAACTTGTGGTAAACATGATAAGCTTTTAATGGATTTCATGTTCTCTTTCCTGTAATTAGTTTTATGCAATGGATTTGATTTGTTATGCTCATTATGATCAGCACAAAAATAAAACCTTTATATAAATAATATTTTCTGTATTTTAATAAAAGAAGAACTATATTTGGTAGTAGTAAAGCAGGCGTCACACTTCTTTTTGCAACCAAGGAGAGGTGCTGTAGGTTAGGTTGTAGGTTCTAAGTTGTAGGTACCTAGGTTGTAGAGTTTAGGTTGTAGGTATGGCTAGGTCAGGTTTAGTTAGGTTTGTTTTGGCTTGGTTCAATTAGAAAGCATCTCTGGGTATAGCACCTCTCCTTCATTGCAAAAAGTAGTGTGACGCCTGCTTTACAACTACCCAATATTCTATAGAAAATATTGTTTGACGCGGAAGCTTGCATTGATTAATCATGTTGTAAAATTCAAACCCATTGGCTGTTAGCAGCATGCCAATGCTGATTAGCTGACGATGACATGGCTGCATTCCTCAGCAAATTCCTCAAGAAGGCACTTTTCAGGACGAGAAATGGAATCTTTGCCTATGGTGATCATTGGGCTGTAAAAGCTCCTGGTTTGTGCTTGTCATTACATAACATTTATTACATTTATCATTACTACATAATGTATTGCATTTATCAATACAGCTAACAAGGACACATCTGGATCTTACCAAGGACACATCTGGATCTTACCTGACAGCCCTCACCCAAGCGACCCTCATCTTCTCCTCTCTTGGAAACCTCCTAAATGTACCTACATCTTGCAGCAACACAAAACTGAATCAGAGTAAGAGCTCTGCAATCTGCAATAAAATACTAGGCAGGTCACAGCAAAATACAAGAGAAAAGATTGAAAATCTGATACAAGCTTAAAATTGTATAAGATTTGGAGCAAGCAGTTTGTTGACGCCATCAAATGTATCAACCGCGCAGTATTTGTCATCAAATTTTGGTGCCGAGTCAAGGTCAAATGTCACGTGACATTTGGCCGACAGGACGGTGTTGTTTATAGCATAGTGGTGGATAAGTGATCAAATTAATTAATTATTCATGTTAAATGTTATCGTGTTTTAACAAAATCATAATTAAATAATTGTTTTAAATGTTTTACAACTAACAAGAATATATTTTCGATCATAATCATTTGTCAGCTTAATTACAATTATCATATTTGAAGTAGAATGATGAGTTTTGAAACACATCTTGTCTTCTTTAATCATGAATTACACCATTTTCATTATTTACACTTGAAACTGTTCCATCGTCACACTATTATTAGCAACAATCACTTCTAATCATTCATCACTAAAACGAAATCCCGCAGAAACCGAAAAAAAGTTCACAGCTCTGAACTTTTTTTCGGTTCCGACTCGTCGGTTTTTGCGGGTTTTCGTTCCACGGGACGCCAGACTGGCAGTGTAGCTTGCGCAATGCATTCGCTATGAGGCGAACTTGACGACGCGAACCGAAATCCCGCAGAAACCGAAAAAACGTCGGAATTCATGCTAGTGTAGCTTAGGCTTAAGAGGCTACAAGTGTGAAACTACCTTCGATCATCGACGTTATGAGTGGTCACGAGCTACAATATGGTTGATGAGATATTTTAATGTATCACAAGCAACACTATGATTTAATGTTTCAATAAACATGAAACTGCACATATGACAGCGTTGATTTTGGCTTTAAAACAAGGAAGTCACTATATTACACTTATCTGTAATTCATTCTGACACAAAATGCTGGCAGGCTATCCTTAACCACATTCAGTATATTCCAAGGGTATAAACATACGAGTACGCTAGCCCGTCAACATCAGTCGCCACAGCTGTAGCATCCGGATTTCCTCTGTAACGGTCACGCGGCATATCGTAGTTTTCTGGCATCGCCCGCAACCTTCCAGCTGGATGCCCATTCTCACTGGTTCCGTCTCCTGTGGAATCCAAGCCGTGGTTACTGGTTACCACAGCGCTGGAGCCCTCAAGGAGCCACCTGCAGACACGTTATGGATGTGCCGCCCGGTCCACCGTCCGTCACCATTGCGCTGAGGTCGGCAGAGGCTCCAGAGACCGGCCACGCCGTCCCGTGTCGTCCGTCAAAGCTCGCGCGATATGTATATTATTTTTGGGAACCAGTCGCCACAAATGATGACCGCCAGTTAGGAGGGAGTCGCTAGCCGTGTTTTGTTGGCTGATTTCGGCGCTGTGGTGTTTACTAGATGCTCCAGAGGCTCGTTGGTATACAGGTGTATTTTTAGCGGGGGTGAGAATGGATGGAAGTTATGATGTGCATCAGCAGGTGTCAGGACGTGCAGGATGAGACGGCGAGGCTGCAAACAGGGAGCAATAATTCGTCCGTGACGTTTGAGCTGAGAATTGTTAGAACCAGTCACAGCCCGTGCTGGATTTCTAAGAGCCAAAGCCTGAGGTAAAGTCTATGTAGAATCCTAGTCACAGCTGAGGCTGGGAGAGAGACCTGAGACAGCCATAACCCGAGCAGGCATCCATAACCCGAACTGAAACAGCCACAGCCGGAGTTGAGACGGCCATAGTAGGAGCTGAGACAGTTACAGCCAGAGCTGAGAGCTGAGACAGCCACAGCAGGCGCTGGAACCAGAGTTGAAGCTGGCACGGCCATAGTCTGAGCTGGGACAGCCCAGCCCCACGGCCGCAGCTGCAGCTCGCCGCCAAAGTCCGCCACAAATGGGCGCGTCACCGCCGGCTGCCATTAATCGGCGTTCGGCGCGCCGCATCGGCCGGCTTTGATCAGCGTGTAGCGGCGCGGCGGGGGACGTCGGGCGGCGCGGCGTGCCCGGCATACCCGGCGCCGCGCCGCAAACCGATGGCCCGCGCCACACTTGTCGCCGTAGCGCTCCATTACACGCGTGTAGCCGTCAGCGCGATCACACCGGCCGGCGAGCGGTGACGCACCGGGGACGAACGCGGCGAGCCGAGAACAACGCTGAGCCCCAGCGGACAAACTAAGGAGACGGCGTATTAGGCGGGATTACGGTGAAACAGGCCGGAGGTAGTTTGTATTGTGTTCATTGACTGGTAATGTATCAGCCGTGACTAGGCTGGCCTTTTCGGAGGGAAGGGTCGATAGCCGGAAGTCGAGGGGCTGGATAGCAATTCTTATAGGTCTTAAGGTGTCTGACTTGAACAACTTACATTGCAGCTCACCGATCACGAGCCAGAGATGAGAAACTATCGAGCTTTACACCATCGCTGACGGCTAAAGGCACCCTGTACCATTACGGTCCGGGTATTCTAAAAGTCAGACTGACCATCGAAGGCTCTGTATGATTTACAAAGGGGCGAGTGACTTGCTAAAAAAAAACGAGTCAGTTCTGAGTTCTCACTTCCCAGCCTTCACCCCCGGAAAGTCCCACCGCTCCAGCTCTCAGTATCACTACGCAGCATTCCTTCAGCCCCCGGTCGCATCGCATCGACGGCATGAATAAAGATGGGTCGGGATGTCGCCGACCGTCTCACGCCGGTACTTAGTGTCCACCGCTGGCGCCGCCGATTGATTTGACGGCCGCTGAGGATTCCGTCCCGTGTAATCCCGGTTCGACCCGAGCGCGTCGCGCCGCAATATTGATGGGTACACCGGCCGGGACATGGATACGCTCTAAGCGGGGCTCCGTTGCGGTCCCATGGAGGCCCTATGGCGGGGTGTTAATTAGAAATTAACGCGGCACCGTCTGTAGAGTACAGGGGTTTCCAGGACGGGTAGTGTCTGGGGACGTGACCCGAATCAAAGGGCGGACTGTGGGGGACGGACTGACGAGGCACTCATCGGACGGCCGAGAGCAATATGGGGCAGTGTCAAATACCGCCAAACGTTCATTTAGGGAAGAGGATAGTTGGAAGCCAGGAGAGGTGTGCTACGAAAAGGCTCATTGCTCAGTAACCAACGGTCACCCTTATCAGCCATGATAATCAAAGATCCCTCTTACATCTAACGCAGGACTGAAATTTAGCGGCTCTCCTGAATTCCCTTCCTTTTTCAGTGACAGGCGTCCTCACCGGTCGCCCGGTAAGGGTTAACCTTGTGTCGTATATGGGCCACTAACATTCCTGGAGTCTGTGACTCTACCGGTACATGGTCGCCGTCTATCTATGGAATACAACCACCTCTCTGCTCTCGTGCTGGTCTCGCACGACCGTCCTATAAGGCGAGAGTATCTGTGTCATTGTACGGAAGAAGATTACTGTGACTTGAATTTAATTGGCGGTGTACAAAACTCCAACGTGGGATAGCCATGGTCAGCTATGTGGCACTTCCGCTAGGACGGTACAAACCGTGACCGAGGCTAACCACGAAACACTATCAGGAAAGCAAACACGGCACAACTGTGGCACGATTCGCTGAATAAAACTGACGTCGGTGCATAACACGCCCCCGTAAATGGTTTGCCGTTACATGATTACTGAATGTGAATGAAAATGTACTAAATGATAAGCATGGAATCTTGTTGGTAAAACATCAGGGATCCCTTTGTTAGAATTCAACTGCATATTTTCAAAACACGTTGCCGCCCTTCGGAGCTCGTTCAACACCCTGCAAGACGATATGCAGCTATTCCGTAGCTTCGCCGCATTCCGAGTTGTGACCATAGGTGATAAGGACGTAAGTGGACGTATGGAAACGATTATTTTTGATGCATGGAAACAATGGTGGCTCTTGAATATGGATTTATACAGATTCGAGAACAACTAGCATGAAATACCGTTTCAGTCAGATTGAGGCAAATAATTACCTACGAGCTTCTGTATCGATTTATTTTGTACAAAACTCCATCGTTAAAGTCAAATCAATATATTAGCTTGATGACACGACACGACGTGACCTTTTCCGCACTGGCCAAGAAACAGTTTTAACAAACTTTTAAGGGCATCATGTAATCTAGCAAAGATGACACTAGGCGCTGGCCAGATAAGAGAAAGAACGAAAAGGTAAGCTACGTTAGTTCCCAGTGTAACCTTATGCGTAATTTCTATACTACGTGGGCGAAGCCCCTGTTGGTTACTCACCAAGGCTTTTCGATACAGACCAATGCATTGCTATAATAAATTGCAAAACCATCCACAAAATTAGTCCAACAAGGACGCAGCTATCACAGTGACCCGGGCCTTCCAACTCACAAGATTAGTGACAATTACTTCACAATCATGGGAACAAGTTAACTTTTGGCACAATCAAAAGTTGATAGCAAAAATAAACAACTGGTGATTGCAAAGCCACCCACATCTAAAGATTCCACCATAGACCTCTGTATTCCACCATCCCTCTCACGGCAAAAGTTCGATTCTCCATGAAACATTATGCATTGAGTAAAAATTCATATTGCATAAGGACGTCTCAAACTACCTCGCATTCATAAAAGCACGATAATCACTATACCCTGAACTGGAAGACAAGCACGAATTACTTGCGTTGGCAGGACCTTTCGATGGTAGCCTGCTCGCTGCTGCAGTGATCGGGGCACCACCGATTGGAGATGCCTGGACCGGAGCATTACCCGCACCAGTGGCAGAATATAGTCCGGCGTTTGTCAAACAGGCACGATTCTGTGAAAAGAGGAGCCACTGTCACACATGTCGATACAGCTGAATATGGAGGGAACCGGGAAAAGTGAATAACCGTACGGGGGTAAGCACCACGGCCGGCTATACGTGCATATGGGTAATTACTTAGACATGTGGACAGTGCTTATATCACATTTTCGTGGCATAAGCAGCTACAAAGAAAAATGGCTGAGGCTGCACAAATAATACGAAAAGGTAAAATGACTATCATATCGTGGCATCCACAAAATTCTGCTCATCAAGCAAACATACGTAATATAACTGAAATAAACAAGATACAATTTCATATATGGTAGGCGTAAAAATCGGCAAAACATATCCCTCGCGTGAGGCAACTTCCCGCATGCATCCTCCCAGTCCCACCCCAGTCCACTCACAGAGGTGTCCGTGCAGGAGGATGGCGTCCACCTCTGCCCCGGCCGGCAGCTGGGCGCACCGCTGGGAGGAGGCCGGCAGCTGCAGCAGCACGGTGGCGCCGCACAGGCTGCGCACGTTGCTGCTCTGCTGGCTGCCGGTGGCGCGCGCGGTGGGCCGTCCGCCGCCCGCCGACGGTGTCAGAGTGGCGCGTACAAACTCGGGCCGCGGGTCGAGGCGCACCTCGCGCTCCAGCCGCACCGACAGCGTGCTGTAGCGGTAGTCGGTCAGGCCGGCCATCCTGCGCAGCGTCGGCAGTACGTGCAGAACGCTACACACGGCCGCCGACACCGGGTTACCGGGCAGGCCGAACACGAACTTGGGCCGGCCGTCCATCGTCAGCGAGGCGAACGTGGTCGGCATGCCCGGCTTCATGAAGCAGCGGCCGAAGTGGATGGTCGCGCCCAGATCCTGCGTCAGCAGCCGCTTGATGATGTCCCTCTCGCCCATCGAGACGCCCCCGGTGGTGACGAGAACGTCGGCGCGGCGCAGCGCCGACCGCATGGCCGCCAGCTGCACGCCTGGCTCGTCGATGGCGATACCGGCGTCGATGACCTCGGCTCCGGCGGCCGGCAGGGCGGAGAGCAGGGTGAGCCGGTTGGTGTCGTAGATGCGTCCGGCGGCGAGCGGCTGGCCGGGCTCCTGGACCTCGTTGCCGGTGGAGAGGACGGCCACCGTCGGCCGGGAGTACACCTGGAGCTCACACACCCCGGCAGCGGCCAGCGCCGCCAGCTCGAACGCCCCCAGCCGGGTGCCGCGGCCGGCCACCGGCGTGTCCACGGCCATGTCGCTACCGATCGGACGGATGTCCTGCCCCTCGGCCGGCGCCGCCAGGATCTCCACGCGCAGCTCGCGCCGGCCGTCCGGAGACGCCTCCACGAGGCGGGTGTTTTCCACCATGACCACGGCGTCGGCGCCGGCCGGCAGCGGCGCGCCGGTACTGATCCGTACACACGTGCCGGCCAGCACCGTCTCCGAGGCGCCGCCGTCGTCCACACCGGCATTGGAGGCGCCCAGCACGCGCCGGATCCCCACACCGTCGGCGGCCAGCACGGCGTACCCGTCCTTCACCGAGGCAGGGAACGGCGGCAGCGGGACACGCGCCGACACATCCTCCGCCAGCACGCGGCCCAGCGCAGCAGTGATGTTCACCGTCTCGATAGTCGGCTGGTGCGCCGACACGGCGTCAATGGTGATCTTCTGTGCCTCCGAGAGGGAGATGGCGGGGTAGGGCGAGCGCCGGTCCCGAGCCGACACCTGGGAGAGGTCCACTGTGGAGTCACCGGCGGCAGTGTACTGGAGCTGGTGGGGACACTGGTGTTGGTGTCCCGCCGCTGCCGGCGGAGAAGTCTTAGCAGAGTCCGATGTTAGAGACGTTTTACGAGAGCCTGCGTCCACCGACAATGTCGTGGAGTCCGTCGTTGTTTCCCTGGAGGCTGTCTTCTCGCCGCCGGTCTCGTCCCCGCCCTGCATCTGTCGGTGGACGTCCTGGACCTGGGTCAGGCGGTGTCGGACCAGGTCCACCGCGTGCGGCAGCCCGGGCGCCAGCAGCCGCAGGTTCTCCACCGCGCCCTTGGTGCTGCCAGGCAGAGTGACCACCACGCAGCGGCCGCGCACGCCCGCCACTGGCCGCGACAGCATCGCCATCGGGGTGATAGCGAGCGAGCCGTTCAGCATGGCGGCCACCAGGCCGGGCGCCGGGCGCTCCAGCAGTGGAGATACTGCCTCCGGGGTGACGTCCCGCGCGGCAAACCCCGTGCCGCCGGAGGTGAGCACCAGGTCACAGCGTGGGGCGAGCTCCGCAACTGCTGCCTGAGGGGGAGGGGTCACAGAGGTCAGTACCAGACCACACTGCCGTAGCTGACAGAGAAATGGAGGTCAGCATCAGGTCACAGCATGCAGAATGCTCCTGCCACAGCTGCTGCCTGAGGGGAGCACACAGAGCAAGTTTATTACTAGCTCACAGAAGGTCAGCTTTGATACCTAAGCTTTCAGGGTGTTAAGTACAGACCACAACAGAGTCAGAGTCAAAAATGAGCAGTCAGAAAATTTTTTGTCAGCAAATTAGGCTGATTGGCAAATCAGCCTCAGAGAATCACAAATCATACAACACAAGGCCAAGCTGACATAATCACTGACCTGGATATCCTCCTTTTCATCTGGCACCACTTTGATCTCACGGGTTTCTGCAGGGAACAGCTCCCCACTCTCCAGAAGCGTCACTAGGGCTGGGCCAGAGCGGTCTTCAGCCTTCCCGGCTGAGACACGGTCACTCACTGTGGAAAAAGATGAATGTTATCATGAAGATAGGGACATGATAGATCAATCAAAGTGATTTCAGGAAGATTGATTGTGCGGTGTAGCTCGTAAAACAGTAAATCATTACCATTTATCATCATAAAATCAAAAGTGGCATGTCAATATGTAAAAAACAAGAAAAGAGCTTGAACATACCTGTAATGATCCCGACAGTTATAGGGTCCATTGTGCAACTGCACAGTGGCCGTTATCTTCAGATATCCTCCTGTTGAGATCTGGTGTTAGAACTGAAATGAGGTGAGAATTAAGAATAACATTAGGATGGCTGTTTGACTTGACCATATTAGAAAAGGCAAGATCATGATTGAAATCCTTGAAACAAAAACTTTTGATGCAAGATGCCTTGAAAATGCTTGGCAATGCATTGGCTGAAAAATGAAAAATGGCAAACATTTTTCATAAGGTGATTAATTGATAGTGCGAGTATAGACCACAACATTTGACACTTCTAACAGATTCTATCAAAACATTTCAAGTTTATGGATAAACTTTTCCTGTAAAACTCACCGTAAATTGCGTAAATTATTGGTAAATTCAACGCGAACTGCACCGTTTCGATGTTTATTTTACGGTCGGGATCGCGCTGCAAACGGAACTCTTGCGCCAGAAATGAAGATTTGGTAGCACAACAAAATCTGCCGAGGTTAAAAATTTATCTACCATTGAACTTTACACTTGCTTTACAGTTTACACCTTACATTGCACTGCGGCACGTGCGCCGCGGCACTGCGGCCCCGTCCCGTTTATAACTCTGTCTTCCCAATCAACTGAATCTCAAGCAACGAACTCCTTTCTGCTCCGCACGAACCCATGCACTGAAGTGAACGGCGCCCGGCGAACCGTGTAGCACGCATCAGACCGCCAGTCACCGTGACTTGGCGCTATTCCGACGTGGCCCATGTGCAAACTTCCACTCGCTCCGCCCGACCCATGCACACGCATGTCCCCATGTTTGAAGAACCCCAGGACCAACCAGGACCAGCCACACTCGTTTTCCAGCAGCATGTGGCACCCAGCCAGTCACTCAGTATCCTGAGTTCCGCCTTCCGGACCCCACCTATCAACACAGACAACTCTCATTTGCGTGTATTTGGCCACACCCGTACGGGCGTAACCGATGACGTCAACAACACCAACAGAGCACATACAAAACCAGCGAGTTTGTCCAATAGAGTGAGCGGCTGCGGGGCCGATCGGCGCCCGCCCGCCGCGATCGGCCCGGGCCGCCTCAGTTAGTGGTAGCGGAGACACGTCCGCGGTAGAACACGACAGACGCGTTGGAATGGCGATACCGGCCGGCCGCCCGGGCCGTCCCCCGGCACTGTGTTCCGGCGGCGGAGGTCGCCGGCCATTCTGAGAGTTCTATCCGTGGCGACTCTGACCGACCGCCGTGTGTGAGCCGGTGACCCGGCTGGTGGCTCCATCACAGCCCTGACTGCGCCCGGCACCCGGCGCGCGCCCGTCTCGGTAGAAGAGAGTGGATCGCTCCGGCCGGCCCGTCAGTAGTCTATCGCCTTCATGGGCGCGTCGGCGGCGCCCGAGGAGGGCGGGTGTCGCTTGGAGCGCTTCCGATTCCGAGCGCGAGGCAGTCGCGGCGGCGGCTCGGCGGCCGGCTCCGGTGCCGGCGGCGGCGACACCCGCTGCTGAGGGAGGGAGGGAGGGAGGTCACCGCGGGTTCGAAACACACGTCCCGGGGCGGGAGCAGGGTGACAAACTCACCAAAACCATGTGATCTCAACCGTTTGACAATACATTCCTGCCATCACCAAACCGCATGTGTAATCTCCTTCAAATACTCATTTCAGCTTTCATCATGCGTTCCTCGCACCACCTCACCCCCCCCCCCCCTCCAACGTCCCTCATTTTCACCCCAGCTCCTCCCGCTCGCTCTATCAGCTTCCTCCCAAGCTCCTTCTCCCTCCCCCATCCGCTGCCTCCCCACCAGCTCTCCTCCCGCCCTCCCATTCCCCTCCACCAGTCACTCACCGGCTCTTCGCCCGGCTTCCTGCCCGTGATGAGCTCGAAAACGTCGGCCGGCAGGTGCTCCCGCTGAGAGGCCGTGAAGCCGTTGACGTAGTCGCGCAGCTGCGCGCGCAGCTCGGGCGCCGTGTCAAACACCTCTCGCAGCGGGTCAACGGGCAGCTGCAGCAGCACCTGGTAGCTGCTCGGCTTGGTGCGCTGGCAGCACTTGATGAAGCCCTCCCATACCTTCTTCTCGGTCCACACCTGGGACAAAAGCGAATCATGGGCGACGGATTAGAAGCGGTTTGAATTCAGGAGATCGATGGTAAGTTGGCGGAGCTACAAAAAAAAGTAAAAAAGAACTTCGTTTCGGGTCCGACATTAAAACCTTTCTATCCACAGCGGCCCTTCACACATCTACCCGTCCCGTATTCGAAATCACCGGTGTCGTATCACTCGCTTCACATACCGAGCGAAGCAGCCTCCCCTCCCCGGTCCCACGTTCGCCGGACTTCCCGACGCCCCCTACCTGTCTGCTGGCCAGCCGGGTGAGTATGTTCATGACCAGGCCGATGAGCCGGTTGTAGAGGGCCAGCGACTGGATGACGGTTCTCATGAGCAGCACGGGCAGCGGGTCCTGTTCCATCAGCTGCTGCAGCACCACGGCCAGCACCTCCTGCGTGTACACCTGCTTCTCGGCGAAACACAGCGACGTCGCTGAAAACGAGAGGGAGGGAGAGAGGGGAGACGGGTGGGTATATCATAAACCCGCTACGATGGTGTCGAATAGCATGCCGCTAAACAGGAGCATGAAAGCCACACTATTGTAAGCAAACAGATAGTGAATTAATTGAACATCATCCGGAAAAGTCGTGCAGAAGGTCGACTTATTCGAATGTGTTGGTCGTTAAGTGGTAAGAAAATTCAGGAGTACAATGTCATCCAAACTGATTATTGCATACTGCATAGCGCTCAAGCAATAACGAGCATGAACAACGACACGCCTATCGTCAACCTCCTCAGATCGACACCGCACCCCGCCAGTGTCAGTACCGCGGTCAGACCCGCGATTCGTCTGGCGGCTGGCGCTCACCTTTGATGATTGTCTTCATGTCACACTTGGCCGGGTCGATGTTGTGCAGCGCCACCAGCAGCTCCACGGGTGTCAGAGGCGAGCTGAAGTTGCCCGTGTCCGCGTGGATGCCCAGCAGCCGGTTAAACACCTGCACACGGAGAGACCCAGAGTCATGTAACGAACGATAACACAGGCCCGAATATACACCGCAGTGCGCCCTGACCGGCATTTCGAAACAGCGGAAACATCCAAAGGAGTGACTGTGCTTCCAATCAAAATTCGTTATTTCGCTATTTAGACAAAAGTAGAAGACATTTGGATATAGGATGATATACAATAGTGTGAGAATCGACGCCTCGTCTTCAAATATTGTCACCATAACCATCCCCAAGATATCGTCGACAAGCGTCACCTTACGTCAAATCTAGGCCGCCAAACGTCGTACATCCACGCCCTAGTTAATCCACCATCTGTATTCCGTTATCGGTAAACACTTTATCGCCGCCCTATCCATTGCCCTACAACCAGGCGCCAACATACGCCTACAAGACCACCCACCATAATCTGACACCCATCGCCGCTCCACCGCCCGGCCTACCTCTTTGACGACGACGGGGTTGAGTCTGATGAGTTTGGGCAGCGCGGCGATCACCTCGCTCTTGTTCAGCCCGTTCAGCACCGGGATTAGGAAGCGCACGTCGGACACCCTCTTCTGGTACAGGTCCCGCACCCGGTCCACCAGTTCAACTGACGGAGGGGCTGAAAGGGGGGGGGGGTCAGACACCCTCTTCTGGTACAGGTCCCGCACCCGGTCCACCAGCTCAACTGAAGGGGGTGCTGAGAGGGGGGAGGAGGTCAGACACCCTCTTCTGGTACAGGTCCCGCACCCGGTCCACCAGCTCCACTGACGGAGGGGCTGAGAGGGGGGGGGGGGGTCAGACACCCTCTTCTGGTACAGGTCCCGCACCCGGTCCACCAGTTCAACTGAAGGGGGTGCTGAGAGGGGGGGAGGAGGTCAGACACCCTCTTCTGGTACAGGTCCCGCACCCGGTCCACCAGTTCAACTGACGGAGGGGCTGAAAGGGGGGGGGGGTCAGACACCCTCTTCTGGTACAGGTCCCGCACCCGGTCCACCAGCTCAACTGACGGAGGTGCTGAAAGGGAGGAGGTCAGACACCCTCTTCAGATATCGAGTACGTATATCAGATATCGTAATCGATATCTGATATCTAACACCGATTACACACTTTGATTACGTACTTTTGTAGGTATTTGCAATGAGCAAGGTATCGACTGCGTGCCCTTATCTGTATGCATATCACAAATCGTCCATACTTTTATCGGTATGTGTATGATAATTCACTCACTTTTATCGGTGAGTATGAGTACGGCCCGCCACTCACTTTGGTCGGTGAGTATGTGTATGAACCAGGACCCGCCACTTACTTTTATCGGTGAGTATGTGTATGACGCGCGTGATGAGCGTCTCGGCGCCCTTGGGACACGTCTCGACCAGTGTGAGCAGCTCGGGCGACTCCATGCCCATGCCGCGGATGGGCGCCTCCAGCACGCGCAGGATGGTCCGCTTCACGTCGGCCGTGGTCAGCACGTACACGTGCGCCAGTCTGCGGCCGGTGGGTGGACGGGGGATGCGTCAGGTCGCACTGGTGCGAGGTGAGGTCGCACATATATGTAGTGTGATTGGTTGGAGCACCCGAGCATGGGTGTTGAGCCTAGATGATATTCCTCAAATAAAGTACGGGACGATTATATTATAGCAGCCTTTCAGTAATCAAGTAAAAATATAAAAACAAAAAGAAAGCGGTGGAACTTGTCTTTCAACTAATCGCACCCGTATAATCTATTTTACACTCAGCACAATTTATGTTTTAACAACAGAACTCTCGTTAAGACCCACGTCACTCAGTCACTGAGAGTCAGTTCGGTCTCCCACTCACTCGTGTTTGATTCCATAAATCCCACTCACTCGTGTATGAGGCTCTCCATATAATCCCACTCACTCGTGTATAAGGCTCTCTATATAATCTCACTCACTCGTGTATGAGGCTCTCTATATAATCTCACTCACTCGTGTATGGAGGCTCTCTATATAATCTCACTCACTCGTGTATGAGGCTCTTCCGTCTAACTCACTCGTGTATGAGGCTCTCCCCGTCCCACTCACTCGTGTTATGAGGCTCTCCATATATCCCACTCACTCGTGTATGAGGCTCTCCATATAATCCCACTCACTCGTGTATGAGGCTCTCTCGTCGCGGCAGTAGCGCCAGGTACAGGTGCAGACACAGCTTGGCCAGCTCGTCCGTCCACTCGCGAGTCACCCCCTCCGGGACGGTGCTGGAACGGGGTGCGATATCGTCAGTCAATTACATCACTAACCGACCGACAGATGTGGAAACTGTTGGATGGAACATTACGGAGTCGGCAAACCTCTGAAAGTTTCCTTCAATATCGTTGGGCCTTCTTGCATAGACTCATAGGCAGGGGGAGGAGAGTACTTTTAGGAGGAGAGTCTGAGTGTTCTCTCTCACCTCTGCTGATCGGTGACGAGCGGCGGCGGCGGCGGCGGCGTCTCCTCCCCCCCCCCCCAACCGTCACCCTCCCCGGCCGGAACCTCTCTTACCTCTGCTGATCGGTGACCAGCTGCGCC